TGTGAAAAAGGGTCATAAGTAATTTTCTTCAGTGCCGTTGTAACTTTGAGCGGTCACTAAACAAGCGGTTGTAAGTCAAGGGCTTCTTGTAAGTCTCTTGTTTCTGACAAGCTGAAGTGATTCTTATTACGGTGGAAGGTTGCAGAATCAGCCAGATGTTTAGATTAGATTTGGCATTTTTGTCTACCTGTCCAATCCTTCCCCAGGACCAGGGAGAGACAGATGTTAGTGTTTGATTTTTTTTTTTTAATGGTATCGTCGCAGGATGGAGGCTGTTCCAGGTAAAACTGCCTTTTTGCAATTGACTGATGGTGAATTTGTCAACGCTGGCGTTGTTCAAATGATGCTCCAGATGTTGATTGCACCCAAGGCGCCTATTGCTATTGAGATTATTTTTTCTTTTCTTTTTTTCCGCCACGATCGTGCTCCTTCTATTTGTACATCTTTGCATTTTCTAATTCCCCCCCCCCCCCAGTTCTTTCTCTTCTGCTGTCTCCGGGCTCTGCCACGTCCACTCTTCAAGTCTCTTGTTTTTATATCTGTCTTACTGACAGTTGTTAAATCTGGAGTGTTGTGTGGCAGAGGTGCTGAATTGTTTGGAAACTCTGGACATTAGAAACTGTCTTTTGCCTGTCCTGGGTAGATCTTCCCAGGCCTTGAAATAATAACTGTGAAATTACTTGGTCTCTCTGCCGAGGAGCGGGTGAAAGACTCGGCAGCAATCAGCCAGAGGGAGATCCACGATAAAACCTAGAGATTTGGGCCAGGGCAGGGAGATGATTTACAGAAAGCAATAATGGACAACAATTTTGATATAGGGAGGGCCCCCTCCCCAGTTTTTTGCTGCTGGCACTTGCAATCTGCCTAAGGGAGATTACACCGGTAGTCCTCGGCTTACCACCACCATTGAGCCCACTGTTGCTAAGCGAGACATGTGTTAAGTGAATTTTGCCCCGTTTTACGACTTTTCTTGCCACTGCAGTTGTTAAGTGAGTCCCAGAGAATCAGGCTTCCCCATTGACTTTGCTGATCAGAAGGTTGCAAAAGTTAGACGGTGAGAACAATTAACCCGTGGAACAACCTGCCTCCAGAAGCGGTGAATGCTCCAACACTGGAGCATACCAGGCTCAGAGATAATCTAATTTATCTCAGATTATATGCACTGGTTACTTGGCTTCGAGAAAACACTCCGCTGTATGCTTAATTGTTAAGAAACGTAATTTTTTATTTTTTAAACGCATCCAAAGCAGAAATGCCCAGGGGGGGGGGGAAATCTAAGCTTAAAAGGAGCCCGTGTGAAAATGCAGCCTCAACCTCTTTTTTTCTGCCAGATGTTCTCACAGCTCCAGTTCAAGGAGTTGTGTGAATGCAGCTGGTTGTCTGAAGAGGCCTGTTAACATTCCCCCCCCCCAAAAAAAAATCTCTCAGCTCTAAAGAAAGGGAGTTGAGGGCCATTGCAAGCCACCATGGATCATGGCTGGGTTGGGAGAAGATACCGATAGTCGTTGATTGAAAACGGTTTAGTGACCGTTCAGAGTTGCAGTGGCAAAAAAAAAAGAGACTCGTGACCCTTTTTCACACTTAACAACTGTTGTGGCATCCCCGGGGTTACGGGATCAAAATTTGGATGCTTGCCAACTGGTTCGTATGGGAGGGGTCACGGGATCCCCTTTTGCGGCCTCAACCTCGGCCACTTTTAAGATGTGTGGACTTCCAACTCCCAGAATTCCCCAGCCAGCGATGCTGGCTGGGGAATTCTGGGAGTTGGAAGGCCACACAGTGGCCAAGCTCAAGAAACGTTGCTTTAGAAGCCGATCCTTGTCTCACTGGCATCAGGAGCTGAGAGGGAGGCATTGCCCTCTCTCCCCCCCCCGAACGAAAAGGCGCATGCGCGCCCATTTCAATTTGCCAGGCGTTTTGCTGCAGCGCCGCGGAGCTATGAAAGATGCATTAATTTCCCGAGGCCTGGAGCAGCTCGCCAGGCGGGTGGTGAATCTCCTGGGCTGGCTTGAGCCGTGGAATTGTGGCACAGGGACGGTCAAGTGGCCGGTCAAGCCGCCCAGGTGGGACCCATCAAGCTTGGCATGTGAGCCGTCTCCCTTCTGCTTCCCCGGGTTTTTTCCCCCCGCATCGTTCGGGCACGGACTCCTGGTTTTCAAAGGGTCTGGATTGGAGACGGAGCTCCGTGCCTCTTTACAAAAAAGACAAAATGCATTCAGAAGCTGTGGTGCCTTCCCTGGTGCCCTCCTTTTTATCTACAGTTCTTGGTTGTTGTTTTTTTTCTTTTTTAATGATCCAGTAGGCTGGAAGGCTTAACGCTCCCGAGGTCTCCCAAGTTGCATTCTTGGGAAATTAAAAAAAGGGGGAAATAACTCAGGCTGGAAACAGGCTCACCTGAATGAGTAAGTTAAGGAAGCCGAGACGGAGGATCCGGTGGGAGGTTTAAAACCCGGGGCTCCTGTGGCTTTGCGTACGAGCGGCCACGCTGTTGTGGATGCCGTTTTGTTCGTCGGTAAGCTCCTCTCCCCGTTGCCCATCCACCTCCTGTCAGTCATTTTGTGAATGCGGACATCACGCTCTCCAATACCTCCCCCCCGCCCCTCCAGTGGTGGGATTCAAATATGTGAACAACCAGGTTCTCTTCGTGGATGCCGCTTCCGGAAGTCCGTTCTGGGCCTGGGCAACAAAAAATTAGCTACCGATTCTGCCGAAGTGGTACGAACCGGCTGAATCCCACCAATGCCTCCGTCCCTCTTTTCTTTCCTTCCTTCCTTCCTTCCTTCCTTCCTTCCTTCCTTCCTTCCTTCCTTCCTTCCTTCCTTCCTTCCTTCTTCCCTCCCTCCCTTCTTTTGCTATCTCTCTTATGCCTTCTTCCAGTGGTGGGATTCAAATATGTGAACAACCGGTTCTCTTCATGGATGCCGCTTCCGGAAGTCCGTACTGGGCCTGGGCAACAAAAAATTAGCTACCGGTTCTGCCGAAGTGGTACGAACCGGCTGAATCCCACCAATGCCTCCGTCCCTCTTTTCTTTCCTTCCTTCCTTCCTTCCTTCCTTCCTTCCTTCCTTCCTTCCTTCCTTCCTTCCTTCCTTCCTTCCTTCCTTCTTCCCTCCCTCCCTTCTTTTGCTATCTCTCTTATGCCTTCTTCCAGTGGTGGGATTCAAATATGTGAACAACCGGTTCTCTTCATGGATGCCGCTTCCGGACGTCCATTTCTGAGCCTGGGCAACAGAAAATTAGCTACCGGTTCTGCCGAAGTGGTACGAACTGGCTGAATCCCACCATTGCTCCCCCCCCATACACACACACACGCACACCAATCTCGTTTGCAAGCAGTTTTCTTCCCCTGCTGTAGAATTTTGACCTGTCCTGAAATAATTCCTTGCAGGCAGAAAGACGGTTAAAGATGCTGAGCTTGTCAGCCCTTGCCCCAGCTCCTGACCCCCCCCCCCTCTTTCAGTTGGAAAGCATGTAAAGGCAAGTAGATAAATAGGTACCACTAGGCCTCGGCATATAACGGTAGTCCTGATGGCCTGTCCGAGGTTTTCATTGTTGTGAGCATTTCTGTTGAGGATTGGCAGCGAGGGTGGGGTGGGGGGGGTTTGGTTTTTTTTTCCCCCCCCCCCCCATCTGCTGGGTGATTGCAGCAGGATTCGGTCACTTCACATGACCCTGGGACACTGTGACCGTTGTGTAAATCTAAAATTTGCATCGGCCCGTTGCGAGAAGCAGAGGAACTCTTCCTGGGGGGGGGGCTGTAGACAGGCCCAAGGCCGCCGTTTGCCCACCCCTGCTCTGAGAAAGATGTCAACCCCTCCGCCGTTGTTTACAAATGTTAAGATTTCTTCCCCGGAATACATTTCTGTGATAAAAGCATCAACAAACCCCGCGGTGCCTTGATTTCTACGTGTGCGTGGCGGCGTAATGGAGGCCCCCATCATCATTTCTATTTATTTGCGAGGAGCATTTCCTTTGTAGAGCCGCCTAGCGTTTCGCAGAGTTTGTGTGCAGTAATTAGCAGGGCTTTTGAGAGCCACCCTAACAATTTGAGAGAAAGGGATCTCATTGACACGGATGCCAGGAGGGGGAAAAAATAGGAAAAAAAATAGTAACAAAGGAGAATTTTTGTAGTTCAGGGTTGAAATGAGGTTCTCCTTGGTGCTCTCTGAACTGGGTGGTTTCCTTATTACCTAGTTTGTGTTTCATTACCCAAACTAGGTAACGTTATCAGTGCTAGTAAGGAGTGGGGTTTGCTCTCAGTTTATTTTCTAGATAATAATAATATTATAGAATATAAACTGAGAGCAGACGCTGCTAGCACTGATGATGTTACCTAGTTGGGTCATGAAATGTCTGCAAGAAAACCACCAAGCTCAGAGAGCACCAAGGAATATTGGTCTTAAGGGGGCTGCTGTTATTGTTGTTAGTTGCAAAGTCGTGTCCGACCCATCGTGACCCCATGGACAACGTTCCTCCAGGCCTTCCTGTCCTCTACCATCTCCTGGAGTCCATTGAAGCTCACGCCTGCTGCTTCAGTGACTCCATCCAGCCACCTCCTTCTCTGTCGTCCCCTTCTTCTCTTGCCCTCCATCTTTCCCAGCATGAGGCTCTTCTCCAGTGAGTCCTTCCTTCTCATTAGGTGGCCAAAGTACTTGAGTTTCCACTTCAGGATATGGCCTTCTCAAGAGCAGTCAGGGTTGATCTCCTGTAAGACTGACCGGTTGGATTGCCTCACAGTCCAGGGGACTCGCAGGAGTCTTCTCCAGCACCAGACTTCAAAGGCCTCCATTCTTTGGTGCTCATAAGGGGGCTGATGTGGTGTCCATTAAACTCCTGCTCTGAGCCCAGAATAGATCAGGATGGATGGGAGGTAGATGTTTCTCTAGTTTGACTTACGGAAATCTGCCGAAAACTTTGGGAAAGAGACTGTCCTCCTATTAACAAGGTGGGAATTCCTTGGGCCTTCCTTGCTGACTCCTCCTTCTCCTTCTTCTTTCCAGCTGGCACGACGTACATTTTTGGCAAAGGCGGGGCACTGATTACCTATATTTGGCCCCCGAATGACCGTCCAAGCACACGGGCTGACCGGCTGGCCGTGGGATTCAGTACGCACCAGAAGAACGCGATCCTGGTGCGGGTGGACAGTGCCTCTGGACTCGGCGACTACTTACAGCTGCACATAGTAAGAAATGGGGGTCCTTAATGGGGGAGGGACGATTGCTAAGATTGGGGGTGTCGGAGGAGACAGTCGCTGCCTCTCTGTCTCTCTCTTGACTTCTTGCTTGAAAAGTTGCTTTTGATAAAATGAAACGGAGAAGCGGCTTGTGGTGATGTAAAATTCCTATTTTTCCCATCCTTTTTATTCTCCAGAAGGTCTTCTCCACTGAACTGGAGACAGTGGTACCTCGGTACTCATCTTCAATTGGTTCCGGGAGGCGCAAGGAGTACCAAAAACAATTCCTACGTTATTCCCATATAAGGAATAACGTAGCCAGTCACAAGGCAGCCCACACAGACAAGTTCTGGCTTGTGCATTGAGTATCAAAGAAACCATGAGCACCGGGACAACATTTTCATGTCAGAATGCACTTAGTCTCGAATTCGATGAGTTTCAAAGCGGTTGAGTACCAAGATACCACTTAACTTTAAGAGGGGGGGGGGAATGAACAACAGAAACGTTAACAAGGGTTCCTCCTACACAGAAGTAGGAGAAAAGCAGCTTGAGATATATCTTATTCAATTGATTCATTTGTCCTCCCTCTTCTCCAAAACTCAAGGAGCTTTATTTACACAGTGTTCCTCTACTTTATCATCCACAATAGGGGTCTTCAAACTTGGCCCTTTTATGACTTGTGGACTTCAACTCCCAGAATTCCTCAGCCAGCGTGCCTGGCTGAGGAATTCTGGGAGTTGAAATCCACAAGCAGGGGTCTTCAAACTTGGCTCTTTTATGACTTGTGGACTTCAACTCCCAGAATTCCTTGTGCCTGGCTGAGGAATTCTGGGAGTTGAAGTCCACAAGCCATAAAAGGGCCATGTTTGAAGACCCCCTGCTCCACAACAACCCTGCCAGGTTGACTGGATTGATCTGCCATTTTGGAAGTCCTTCCCAAATCCACGTGGAGTCCTGAGCCTCTCTTTGAAATAAAACAAGACAGCGGCCATCTTTTCAAAGGGTGCAAAAAAGCCCAACACGGCTGAGTCTCTGGGGCCGGCTATCCGGTTCCACGGCATTGAAGACCCTAGATTTCTGCATGCCCATTTAACTAACCTGGTTGCTGAATGAACCATTTTCCAACTCTATTAACCCCCACGCTCTTAAGCTAGCCTAACAGACTGGCACTGTGTGAACATGGCTTTGCATTCTCAGTTCCTGCCCTTTGCTGAGGAATCCTGAGCAGTTTTTTTTTTAAAGTTAGAGCCTTGTTGGGACCTGGAAACTTTCCTTGGCGGATCCTCTGTCGTTTGGGGGAGAGGGGACAACGGGCAACTCACTCAAACCAACTCGGGTATTTGATTCCATCTGAGTCGGTCACCGGGACCCAAGGTTTGTTCTTCCAAGCTTGGAAATCCTCTGAGGACGGGCTCCAGAGCGTTTAACAATAGCACTTAGACTTATATACCGCTTCATGGCGTTTCACAGCCCTCTCTAAGCGCTTTACAGAGTCAGCCTGTTGCCCCCAACAACCTAGGTCCTCATTTTACTGACCTCGGAAGGATGGAAGGCTGAGTCGACCTTGAGTTGGTGAAAATCGAACTGCTGGGAGTGGGCAGAATTAGCCTGCAATGCTGCATTCTGACCACTGTGCCACCACGGCAAAAGAATAGGAAAAGGAATAGAATAGCAATAGCACTTAGACTTATATACCGCTTCACAGTGCTTTACAGCCCTCTCTGAGCGGTTTACAGAGTCAGCCTCTTGCCCCCAACAATCCGGGTCTTCATTTTACCGACCTCAGAAGGATGGAAGGCTGAGTCGACCCTGAGCCGGTCAAGATCGAAGTTTCTCCTTCATTCCAGGTTGCTTCTCTCCTTGATTAGTTTCCATCTATTGTTTCTTTTCCTGCCTTCTGGTGCTTTGGAAAATAGGTGGACCCCCCCTTCTTCTTCTTTGGGGCAGCCCCTCAAATATTGGAAGACTGCTATCATGTCACCCCTGGTCCTTCTTTTCATTAGACTAGACCTACCCAGTTCCTGCAACGGTAGAATAACAGGGTTATTCTAAACATATAATAACATAGTTGGAAGGGACCTCGGAGATCTTCTAGTCCACCCCCATGCTCAAGTAGGAGACCCTTGAAAACCTCCAGCGATGGAGCACCCCCCAACATCTGTTGGCAAGCTGTTCCATTGGTTAATTGGCCTCACTGTTAGGAAATTTCTCCTTAATTCCAGGTTGCTTCTCTCCTTGATTAATTCACATTCATTGTTTCTTGTCTTGCCTTCTGGTCTTGCTTTGGAAAATAAGTTGACCCCCCTACTCTTCTTTGTGGCGGCCCCTCAAATACTGGAATACTGCTTGTATTCCAATGTTGTTTTCTTGTATTCTGGCATTCCAGTACTGTAGACTGAAATCTAGCCTTTGACGTCCCCTCATCCCAATCGCTAGCAGGCAGACCAGCTTTTATGATGATCATTTTGACTCTCCTCCATCCCCGTCTTCCCCCTTTCCCTCTGCCTGCGCGAGTGTTGAATTCGAAAGCCCTACCGTCGCTCTTTCTAAACTGGCCTCCCGTTTTTTAGGATTTCATCCAGAGCCACTCCCGTCCGGATGGTCCCAGCCCCGACTGTTCGGAGGAAACGGTCACTTTGGCTCCCGAGATACGTGGCCAGCAGGAAAGGGGGCTGCCAATGTTCCAAATTCAAAATGCCCTCCCTTTCAAAATGGCCGCTTCAAGTGTTCCAAGCTGTGAAAGAAACTATAGTGTGTGTTTTTTTTTTAAAGCGTCGCATCTCTAATTGTCAGCAAATGCTCTCGCTCAGGCTAAAGGGCTTTTCACTTCAGAACAGAAGGATTTCAGTAACGTGGCATTGGTTGCAAAACACGCACCTGCTCCCCCGACACACAAAGTGATTGGAAGTGGGGAACACAGGAAAAAAAATTATATTAGGGCAGGGGTAAGCAACCTTGGCTCTTTTATGACTCGTGGACTTCAACTTCAACTATTAATACCACTTCACAATGCCTTGGTTAAGGCCACACTTGGAATACTGCATCCAGTTTTGGTCACCACGATGTAAAAAAGATGCTGAGACTCTAGAAAGAGTGCAGAGAAGAGCAACAAAGATGATCAGGGGACTGGAGGATAAAACGTATAAGAAAGGGCTGCAGGAATTGGGTATGTCTAGTTTAATGAAGAGAAGGACGAGGGGGGACAGGATAGCAGCATTCCAGTATCTCAAGGGTTGCCCCAAAGAAGAGGGAGTCAAGCTATTTTCCAAAGTGCCTGAAAGCAGGAAAAGAAGCAACGGATGGAAACTAACCAAAGAGAGAAGCAACCTAGAACTAAGGAGAAACTTCCTGACAATTAACAATTAACCAGTGGAACAACCTGCCTCCAGAAGCGGTGAATGCTCCAACACTGGAAGTTTTTAAGTTTTAAGTTTTTAAGAAGAAACTGGACAGCCATTTGTCCGAAATGGTATAGGGTTTCCTGCCTGAGCAGGGGGTTGGACTAGATGACCTCCAAGGTCCCTTCCAACTTTATCATTATTATTATTATTATTAGAAATCCAATCTAAACATCTAAGTGACTACAATGAGCTATAATAATAATACTGTCCAAACTCCCAGAATTCCTGAGCCAGCCATGCTGAGGGGAAAGGGAGAGGTTTCCAAGCTGAGCCATGCTGGCTCAGGAATTCTGGGAGTTGAAGTCCACGAGTCATAAAAGAGCCAAGGTTGCCTACCCCTGCTATAGGGGTTTCTGCTTGCTGATCATCCGGTCAAGGAACAGTCCTCCTTTATTTCATCTTGGCTGGCTTACTGGTTGATGAGACTTTTTGCAAGCCAGGTTCATGTTGAATGTCAGCCAGCATCTTCTCAAAGAAGCAAGGAAGCTTTATCTCCTTGCGCTGAAGAAGCCATAAAGATGGGGAAAGGAAAGAAGAGATGAATCTTTTGGGGAGGAAGGCAGCGTCAGACTCTGACAAGATCATGAAGGATGTGTGAACGCCGGCAGAAACCCGATCGTTGTTAAAATAAACAGGGCTGGAAAGATGGATCTTGCGAAAGAGCGAGACTTAGAGATTGGGAGGTGTTGCGAAGAGTCTCATCAACCAGTCAGCCAGCCGAGACGAAATAAAGAAGGACTGTTCCTTGACCGGATGATCAGCAAGCAGAAACCCCGATACTTTGGGGCGCAGGATTGGGCTAGAAAAAAATAAATAAATTGCCTATAGCAGGGATAGGCAACTTTGGCTCTTTTATGACTCGTGGACTTCAACTCCCAGAATTCCTGAGCCAGCCTGGCTCAGCTTGGACAGTCTGAGACGAGGATCCAGGCAGTCATCAAGCGTTAAGCCTGACTTAGAATTTACTGCAAAATTACATCCTCAACTTACGATCGCAGCCCAACATTTCTGTGGTGAAGTCAAAGACAGTTGCTAAGTGAGTTTTGCCCCGTTTTACAACCTTTCTTGCCATGGTTGTTAAGCGGATCACTACGGTTGTTAAGTCAGTAACGCGGACGTTAAGTGAATCTGGCTTCCCCATTGACTCTGCTTGTCAGAAAGCCGCAAAAGGGGATGACGTGACCCCGGGAGACACTGCAAACCGTCATAGGTACATGCCAGTTGCCAAGCGTCTGGATTTTGATCACGTGACCATGGGGGGGGGTGGATGCTGCAAAGGTCGTAACTGTGAAAAACGATCACAAGTCAGCTTTGTCAGTGCCGTTGTAACTTTGAACGGTCGCTAAATGAACTCTTCCATGCTGAGGACTACCTGCAGATGCCCCGTATTCTTTGCGAATAGCAGAGCTGCCTTACCTCATGTGGGATTGATTGCACCAGTTGACTGGTCCCTATAACGTGGTTACCCGATTAACCTCGTTGGTTTGATGCCTAATAATGGAAGTTTGCATTGATTTTCATTTCATTTGCTTTGCCTGCCTTTTTTCGGGTCTCCCGAGGCCTTTTGGTCCTGTTATTTATCTGCAAATAATGGCCTACACTACCCAT